AGAGAAGACAGAGAAAACGAAAACAACTTTGACTTCTTTAGCTGAAAACTTGAATGATATGCTTCGTTGAATCTTTCCCCCTTCTCTCTCTCTCTCTCTCTCTCTCTCTCTCTCTCACCTTCTTCGTTCCACCTCTCCCCTCCTCCCCGTTTCCTCTCTCTCCTTCATTCCACCTCTTCCTCTCTTCCTCCTTCGTTTGGTATCTTTCCTCCGTTTCTCTCTTCCTACTTTTTTTTAAACCTCTATCCTCTCTCCCCTTTCGTCCCATCTCTTTCCCCTTTCTCTTTTCTCCTTGTTTAAGCTCTTCCTCCTCCCCTGCTTTGCCCACCGTTTAGGTTAGGTTAGGGTTCTCTCAAGTGTCGTCTAGGTCTCCTTTCTACCACTCTCCTCCTCCTCCCAAAAATCCTTCACTTTCACAAAACTCACTTTCTCCCTCTCATTTCTCCTGAAAACATTTCTCTCTCTCTCTTCTAACAGTAAAACCTTCTCCCTTCACCAAAGCACTGCCTCCCCTCCTCCTCCTCCTCTTACTCCTCCTCCTCCTCTTCTTCCTCCTCCTCTTCCTCTTCCCCTACCCTCGATTCCCCTCATCAAAGTGTCCCTCTGAATACAAGAATTTTTTCCCCTTGCATTCCTCGCTTTAATCTCCCAGAATATGGAATCCAAAACGTAGACTCCAAAGGGCGAAATGTGGGACTCAAACCTCTCAAAAGCCGGAATTCAAAACACGAGATCAAAATGTGAAATCCAAAGAGGTAGAATTCAATCCAAACTGTGAATCCAAAGCCATGAATAAATCCAAAATGAAGAATAAATGAATAATGAATAAATGAAGAAACATGAATATATAGAATCTAAAACAGAATTTAAACGTAGCAATGAATACAAAATAATGAAATCAATGTAAAATATCCATGAATATTTAACTGGGGAATTCAAAACAAGATATTTAACTGAATATTTACACCAAGAATATTAAACCAAATCATATAAAACAATGTATTAAACCTTGGATTTCTCATCATCATCATCATCATCATTAGTAGTAGTAGTTATTATTATTACAATTATTATTATTATTATTGACATCATTATCATCATTAATCACTACATACATTATATATTAAAACAACAACTCCTAATCATTGTGGTGTAAACTCTAGGGAGATTTTAACTATCGTGACTAAAACTAAATCTTTACTTTCGGTCTAAAACGATCGCTTAAACTCTGATACGAAGCTCAAGTGTCCCCAGTAAATAAAGAGACACAATTAAGAGATGATAAAAAATACGGCCCCCTATCTAATGAATGGATGGATGGATGGGAGAGATATTTAAAATACACAAGCAGAGAGAGGAGCGGCAGAGAAACAGACAGACAGACAGACAGACAGACAGACAGACAGACAGACAGACAGACAGATGGATGATAAGGCTTAACAGAAGGGGGAGGAAGAAATAATGGCAGTAAACGGGAGAGCAGAAAGAATGAGGTTAAAGAGGGGATAGGGAAGCCGGATAACAAGCAAGTAGGGGAAATGAGGGGAGACAGACAGAGAACGAGAGAGAGAGAGAGAGAGATAAGAGAATCAAAAGAATAGAGACATAGGCACAGAAGGGTTGGGGTAATGAAACGAGACATGAGAGAGAATGGATAATGACTAATGAGAACGGTAAGAGGAACAAACGAAAACGGAGATTAGCGAATAAAGGAGGAGAGGGAGGAGGAGGAGGATGAAACGAACGGAAAGGTAATAAGGGGAATAGATAAAGGGGAAGATAAAGGGAAACCCGTAGAAGGAGTTAATCGCCTCCTTCAGTATTCAGGTAAGTCAAAACCAACCTGTAGAAGTGAACACCAGAGGGTAATGAAGTGGTTGGGTTAGGTTAGGTTTGGTTAGGTTAGTGTAGTTAATCATCAGGTAAAATAAGCCATGAAGCAGAATACCATAATCCGGAAATTAATAAAATACGACCTCTCGGATCAGGATCACACACACACACACACACACACACACACACACACCATCTGTTATAAAAGCGCAACAGTCATGCAAAACAAACCTGCTTCCAGCCCTCTAACCTAGCCCATGCCTCACCTCTGTGGCCCACTAGCCCCCTGCCTCACCTCACAACCCCAGCCCCACCTAGCCCCCTCACCCCTCACCTCCCACAGCCCAGCCCCACTAGCCCTACCTCACCTCACAACCCCAGCCCCACCTGGCCCCCTGCCTCACCTCTGTGCCCCACCTAGCCCCTGCCTCTTCTCACAACCCAGCCCACTAGCCCCTGCTCCAAGCTTCCCCAAGTCCCCTTCCTTCCAAGTTCCTCCCTCGCCCTGTCTCCTCCCATGACTGCCCTCCCCAGTCCCTTCCATTTGTTGTCTCCCCATCTTTTCCTCCCCATCTTGTCCTCCCCAGTCCCCTCCCCAAGCCCCCAGTTTCACCCCCCAGTCTCCTAGCCATCAATCATGCACACCAAAAACACTGGACTACACCTTATCTCTTGCCAAGCGTGGGTGGAGGGGGTGGGTGGCAGGGGGTGGGTGGCAGGAGGGGGTGGGTGGAGGGGGTAGGTGGAGGGGGTGGGTGGAAGGGGTGGGTGGAGACGCGTGGGTGCGGGTGGAGGTGGCATGAGGGTCGTAAAATGAGTGGGTGGGAACGTGGTGTGGGCGTGTGAGGGGTGGGCAAATAGACGGGTGGGTTGTGAGTGAGGGCGGACAGACGGACGGACAGTAACCACTCTCGTCTGACCCGGAACAGCGGAGGTAAATAAATTGAGATAAAAATGGAGATATTTATTACACACATAAATCTTTCTTCATTCCTTACGATAGATTCTGAGTCATGTCAACTACTCTGTATATTAAGGCTCACAACAACAACAACAACAACACCAACACCAACAACAACAACAACAACAACAACACCAACAACACCAACAACAACAACAACAACAACAACAACACCAACAACAACACCAACAACAACACCAACAACAACAACAACACCAACAACAAACAACAACACCACCAACAAAAACAACGTAATAGTAACGATATAATTGAAATGTTTCTAAAGGAACCAGTTTACGATTTATTCAGGATTTTATATAGGATAATTTTTTTTTTGCCTTAGGTGAAACTGATCGTCATTTCAGAATACAGACTCGAATTCAGCAACTACAAATGCTGCTGAGGTCCATTTATGTAACGGCCTGTAGTATATTTCAGAAACACTAAAACCCTTACTGGAAACTGATGGGAGATATACTTAAATTGAGAGAGAGAGAGAGAGAGAGAGAGAGAGAGAGAGAGAGACTATTTCCAGGTAGGTGGATGAGTTATATACGAGTTACATTGGCTAGCAGATGGAGGAGGACCCGTCGTCAGGTAGGTTATTGGTACTGACGGGGAGCTGTCACCCAGGGGACTTCCTGTCCAATCTCTCCTCCTGTCATCCTCTCTCTCTACCTCCCTCGTCTCAATATCCCCATGCTCTTCTCCATCATCACCAATCTATGCTCTCCCTGTTGACCAGTCTTTCTCCCCATACTGTTTGTTATCCCCCATCTCCCCATAAACTAACCTCCTCCCCAATACCATGTCGTTATTACCCCTCCCCCTCCCTCCCTTCCCCCATCTCTAATTGCCTCAGCTCCCTCTCCCCCACCTCTTTACCTTCCCCTGTGACAGTTCTGTTATTTTTACCGTCTTTAATCTCCCATCCTCCCCACCCCACCCAAAAGCCAGATTCCCCCTCATCCACAACCTCCCCACCACCTCATCCATCACCGTATTTTACACACACACACACACACACACACACACACACACACGACTAAAGTTTTGAGATGAAGGAAAAAAAGCAAATGTTTGAGTTTGGAGAAAATTTGTCTCTATGTCTCGCCTTCTGTGTGTGTGTGTGTGTGTGTGTGTGTGTGTGTGTGTTTTATCTCGCTCTTCATCTCTTTCTTACTTGTTTATCTATTTTCTTAAGTATTTTTTTTTTCATGCGTCTTTCTATGCCTTCGTCTCTATCCGTCTCTTCTATGTCTCCCAGTGGCTTCTCTAAATCTTTGCATGTCACTTTATTGTCCACCTGTCTGTCTTTATTCGCCTCTCCGTGTGTTTATTTTAGGTAACTATCTCTCTCTCTTATCTCTACAATTGTCTCTCTCAGTCTGTATCTGTTTCTATTTCCTTTTTTGTTCGCTGTGTCTCTATTAGTTTCTCTCTCTATTTTTCTGTGTATATTCTCTTCTATTTGCCTATGTATGTATGTATGTATGTATGTATGTATGTATGTATGTATGTATGTATGTATGTATGTACGTACGTATATTATGTCTGTCAGCCACTGCATGTCTGTCTGTCTGCTTTGTGGGGAATGTAAGTGCGTCTGTCTGTCTGCCACTCCGCCTCTCTCCCTCCCTCCCATCTGCTGAATGGCCTGCCTGGTGCCCGCTATCGACCAGCGTGGCTGCATCTTCATTAACCAACCACATCCCTTCCCTCACCCTTTTCCCTCTCTTTTCCTTTCTCCCCTTCTTCCTCACCCTCCCTTTCCTTCTTCACTTCACCCCTTCTCACCCTCTCCCCGTGTCTGGTGAGCGACAGTCGACCACATATAATATCTGCCGTTCCCTCCCAGTGTATCATGAAGGGCACCAGTCCATGATAGTCGCCGCTCTCCCTGCATGCCAACCTAACCTAACCTAACCAAAGGTACAATATCCACATCCTAAAGTAATGACACAATGGTTATGGAACACCTGAAGGACCTTGTGGATAAATTTACATACGGATGACAAAACCTTATTCCACCACGTCATCTTGTTTCGATATACTCCATAATCGAAGACAAGAAGAAACCATAGAGACAGAAGGTTGGAAAATCCTATATCATTCATAATAAATACAATACTTATCAACATCCTCCTAAGATCGCTATTACAGGGAAGAGGTACAAGGAGAGGAGAACAAAATATTGGTCTCCTACCTGTTGTTTGTTGTCCTTGGAGAACGGTAGCATAGTGGAGACGTGAAACATGATCTCGTGGCCCTCGTAGATAGTGTAAACTGAGTGTTTCCCAGTCATGTCACCTGTGGAAGAAGGTACAGGTGAGATCAGGTGGGAAAATTGTCATAAATTAGTGTGGATGTTTGTTGATGTTGTTGAGGCAGGATGGTGGTGGTGGTGTGGTTGGTGGTGGTGGTTGGTGGTGGTGGTGGTGGTGGTGGTGGTGGTGGTGGTGGTGGTGGTAGTAGTAGTACGCTGGAACACTAACATAAACAAAAGGTACAGTCAATGGTATCAAAACAATGTACTAAAAAAATAAGAACACAACATTACTTCTTTATATACATAGCCAAACTTTCGCCCTGAATTTCACTCGGGTTCGTTTGAAGTTCCGAGACAATGAACCATTTTTTTTTTACCACCGAACCCACAGACAACAAAGCTAAGTTTCTGAATATCAGTCCACTCTTCCTCGTTTCTTGGAATGATACGCATTCTGGAAAGGGCTGTAATTGCAAGGAAAAGAAAGAGAAAAACATCTCATTCATCGCATTCTCCTCACATGAGAGTCCTTTTGAAAGTTGGTATCAAAGTAAATTGTCGGAAGAGTGAAGCTCGCGTGAGTGAGCCGCGGCCGACCAAGGGTTCAGATATCACGAGACAGCGAGAGGAAACGCGCGATACCTGTTTCATCTGAGCTTTCCGCGGACACACGAGAGGACCGGGGCCAATATGGGGGAGATGCGAGATACTGGGAAATAATGGGAAGCCGTGAACAGACGAGAGGGAGGTGCGGGGGGAGACGGATGGGGGGATAGGGAAGGAACAGACGAGGGGAGGTGGGGACTGATGAGGGAGACATGGGGGTAATGGGAAGCCGAACAGACGAGAGGGGAGAGGGAGACAGGGGTAATGGAAGCCGGAACAGACAAGAGGTGGGGGAGACTGATGGGGGAGACATGGGGGTAATGGGAAGCCGTGAACAGACGAGAGGGGAGGTGAGGGGAGACATGGGGGGTGAAGGAAGCGAACAGACAAGAGGTGGGGGAGACTGATGGGGGAGACATGGGGGTGGAAGCCGTGAACAGACAAGAGGTGGGGGGAAGACGGATGGGGGAGACATGGGGGGTAATGGGAAGCCGTGAACAGACGAGAGGGGAGGTGAGGGGAGACATGGGGGTAATGGGAAGCCGTGAACAGACAAGAGGTGGGGGGAGACTGATGGGGGAGACAGGGATGGGAAGCCGGAACAGACGAGAGGGAGGTGAGGGACATAATGGAAGCCGAACAGACAAGAGGTGGGGGGAGACTGATGGGGAGACATGGGGGTGTAGCTGTGAACAGACGAGAGGGAGGTGAGGGAGACATGGGGGGTAATGGGAAGCCGTGAACAGACAAGAGGTGGGGGGAGACTGATGGGGGAGACATGGGGGTAATGGGCCGTAACAGACGAGAGGGAAAGAGGGGTAGAACAGACAAGAGGGGGGAGACTATGGGGGAGACATGGGGGTAATGAAGCCGAACAGACGAGAGGGGAGGTGAGGGAGACATGGGGGTAATGGGAAGCCGTGAACAGACAAGAGGTGGGGAGGACTGATGGGGGAGACATGGGGGTAATGGGCCGTGAACAGACAAGAGGTGAAGACATTTGGGAAGCAAGTGAACAGACGAGAGGGGAGGAGGGGGAAGAGGGGGAGACTGATGTAATGGGAAGCCGTGAACAGACGAGAGGAGGTGAGGGAGACATGGGGGTAATGGAAGCCGAACAGACAAGAGGTGGGGGAGACTGATGGGGAGACATGGGGTGAAGCCGAACAGACGAGAGGAGGTGGGGGAGACTGATGGGGGGTACTGTGAAGACGTGAGGAGGGAAGGAAGACTGGCGAAATGAGAGACAGTGAGGAAATCTAAGACGTAATCTATTTATAAGGACAAACTTCCTTAACAACTCAACAATGATCATTATAAATAATTCAATTGATTACGAAATAAAAAATCTTGACAAATCGTAATTAATGCAAATTCACGAGGTATAAAATATTTCTATCGACATTTTTATCTTCGTTTAGTGATATTAAGCTGTCAATTACGTCACTATTTTGCTTACCAGTGTCATGGAGTCCCTCGCCATTATCTAACATAACGAGAGCTGCTAAAGTCTCTGCTATGGCTGGCAATCGCTCGTCTCTCCATCAACTTCCTCTCCCCCAAAATAAATTCTAGTTACATGGTGGCATTTCGTTGGTCTATGTTGTCATGTCTCCTGGTCTATGGTATTAGGTGTCCTGGTCTTGTTCTATGGTGTTACTTATGTGGTCCTGGTCTATGTTGTTCCTTATGTGGTCACCTTTAAAATTCGTATCCTGTATCAATGTTCATCACCCTTAATGGGGAGGCAAAGGACTGGTGAACCGCATGCTATTGTGGTTACCGTCTGTTATGTCATCACACATATATTATTATTATTATTATTTATTATTATTATTATTATTAGCAGTAGTAGAGGTAGAGATAAACAAAAGACAGTAAGATAATGTCATGAGAGGGCAGACGGGTAGCGAGAGGTCAGACGGGTAGCGAGAGGTCAGACGGTTAGTGAGTGAGTGAGCGGCCCAGAAGCGTCGCCCAGAAGTCTTCAGCGTCTCGGCAGTAATCCTCCCCACTGCCTCTCTCTAGTAAAGGAACAATACCGTCTTTTCCGTGTCCACAGAGGCATTTTCCCGCTTCATCTCAAAAGCCTTGGCCATTATACTTCTCTCGGTACCGATTTTATAAAAGGCTTTTGAGGAACTTGCGAAAACACATGAAAAGCGCTTTTATGGTCTTGGATCCCACGCCGTATTACACGTATTCTTCCGTATTGACGTTACACTATGAAGGGTACATGAACAAAGAGTGTAGCGTCTTGAGGTACAAATTTGAGTCCTCCTGAGAGATGGTTACGTAGTATTGTACCCTGTTAGCCAGAGGATATATGAAATAATAGGATCGAGTCGCATAAATCTCATCACAACAGCCTGAGTTACTAGCTTGAAATTTTGATGTGTTGCTTTGATGATTGACTTGTGTGAATTTATGCCAGATTTTGATACAGTGGTGTGAGGTTAAGACACAACAACATTGAATTAACTAGTGATAGGTGTTTGATACAGTGATGATGGGTTGTAAGTTTGTGGAAAGTAATTTTGTTTGATGAGTGTATGGTCTGGCAACACCGCTTGAGCACAGCCCTCAACTTCTCTTTGGATAAAAAACAAAATCGCATTGTTTCTAATACGATCCCAAAGGAAATTATATTTACTTGGAAAAATTGATATAATGTTGGAATAAAAACGATTTAACAAATGACTTATGAGAGACAATATTGCTTGAAGAGTTCCATATATCTTTGTTAGCTTCTCGTCTCATAACACCGAGGCTTAAATCCACTCGATATAACTTAATATAGAACCACAGTGACATGATTAAGGAAGAAGGAACCAAGCTGATGCAACTTATGTATTGTGTAAGTTAAAAATCAGGAAAATAATAAATAAAATAGTTGGTCATGAGTCAAGCTGATGTTCTGTCAAGGCAATGTGGATTCAACCACTGCGGGATGATGACCAATGGAGGCGGGTGTCAGCTGTTACTGTTGGGGGTCTTAGCCTTTTCTTGTTCTCTTTGTTTCACTTCTCTCGTGATTTCAGAGTAATTCCTGTTAAACTAATGACCCAAAGACAACCAGAGTCATATAACAGCTTAATCACCCCATTTAACTCTAAAGGAACAAAATCTTTCATTCTTACATTTTCAAACCGTCATGTTTACATCATTAGCATCACCGGTTCATGACGTCATCAACCATCCGTCACGGTTAATATTCTTGAAGATTAAATTTTATCTCAAGAACTTCCAACGGCTGATCATAAAGACGTAAATTTTAAGTCTGTGTCAACATGAATCTGTGTCCTCGCCAGTCGCTACGGCAGATGATGTGCGGCCGAATAAGGTTTGGTTCGGTGCCCGCGTCGAGCCATCTTGATCGCTTATCAACTGGAGAAAGCGCGGGAAAACATGTAAACAAGACGGTGACATCCAAGTGGACAGTATCTTACCCAAATAGACCAATTACGTCGCGGCGGCTGAACAATCCTTATATGATTGGCTCAGGGATGTAAGGCACGTCTGGGCGGCGCTTTAACGTAGCTGACAATTCTCAACTTTAAGCGAATCCTCAGCCGTTGAGGGAGGATTAGACGTCAACACGGGAGGAAAAACGAGATGATGGATGGAGGTTCTCAGCAACACAGACTATTGTGTTCCAGACTTAATTATTGTGATAGTATGCTGATCTGAGAATAATAAACGTAAAATTATTAAAGCTCTTATATAAATGATCCCTTAATGACAGTTTAATTATTAATATATGGAAATAAACATCTACAGGTATGTTTATATTTCTGACTTATTAATGTTTATATAATGTTAATTTACCCTGAAGAAAAAACAACAGGAGAATAAACATGATAATTCAACGAGTTACTTAATATTAGAGGAATTTTTTTCATTTATTTCAGTTTCTTATTTCCTAATTCTTTACCTAGAGATGAAAGTCTTTAGTACAGATAATTGAAGATTTAAGTACGAGAAATTGTTTTAAGAATTCATGAAAGCTACGAGGACACACACACACACACACACACGCCACACACACAGGCACAAATTACAATAAAGCGAAGCAATATCAGCCAAATTACGAGAGGTTTAAACAAGTCACCAGCACTACTTCCTCTTCCACACAACACATAGACCAATGAGACGAGGCAGGCGGTGGAGGACGAACCTCCACCGCCACCGCCCGCACCTCAAAGACCCTCCCGTGTACCGCCCCAATTATAAGACAATTACACACATCAAAGACTGCAAATGACTACCACTACACCCGCCTAACTTCAAATACTACTGGAATTCTTTCTCTCTCTCACTGTCTGTCTGTTTCTCTCTGTCTCCCTCTCTCTCACATAGCGATTACCGTAATTGGAAACTTTAGTGTCAGGTAAGCCCCGCAAATTCGTAGACTTGGTGATATAATACACAAGAC